GTCATTTTAGTACTTTCAACTTACTCATTTTGTTTCAGTTATTCACCAAAACAAAATTTCTTTTTTTTCCCTATCATTTGTAAGTGTTTTTTTTATTATTATTATTTATTATAATTTATGTTTACATTTTTATTTCAGCTTTATTTCAGTTAACGAAAACTATATTTAATCGTTTTTAACTTTAGGTTTAGTTAACAACAACAACACAGACATATACTTTAGTACTGGAACAAAACTGAGAAATAGCAGTTAAAATAATATTAATAAGAATAATAAAATCAAGGAATTGATTTGTGTGAATCTTAAGATGTTCTGCAACCTCAGAAGCATTCACCTGTGTTTGGGTTCATTGCCTTTCACTCGGTGTGGGTCAGATACAAAATAATGCATCATATTTATTAGAAATTAGTATTCACATTTAGACAGAAAATCTCACTGTGATCAGTGCTATTCCACTGTATGTGGAGAAATAGCAGTTAAAATAATATTAATAAGAATAATAAAATCAAGGAATTGATTTGTGTGAATCTTAAGATGTTCTGCAACCTCAGAAGCATTCACCTGTGTTTGGGTTCATTGCCTTTCACTCGGTGTGGGTCAGATACAAAATAATGCATCATATTTATTAGAAATTAGTATTCACATTTAGACAGAAAATCTCACTGTGATCAGTGCTATTCCACTGTATGTGGAGGTTTGTATTAGTTCCTCACAAAAATAATTTTTTCTCTCTGTCTTACCACAGGTTGTGGAAATCAAGCTGCGTTTTGAGATCTATGACAAACGACAAAAAGTTCTTAGCTTGCAGAAGGCTGCGAGTAAAGGTGAGATTAAGTAATGGTATCTGACCTGTCTTAACTGAATGTTCAGACTTTGTCAGAGATTATTAATTCAGAAGAGACTTTGTATTGCAACAGGCCAGTGTGCTAAAGTGACCCAGTCAGCTGGACAGAAGTCAGATAAAGAGAGTAAAGGGGTAAGATCTTCTCCATGAGTTCTCCGAGATCCAGCCTCTTTGCTGCTTCACTCATCCTCTCATTGTCTTTGACAATTTTTCTTCCCTTTTTTTCCCATACAGCAGGAGACCGGCCCATCCCGAAAGAGAAAGTCAAGCACCTCTCTTTCGGATGTAGAGGGTACATATTGCAATTAAATATAGTTGCCTTAACGTTCTTTGTGTGCATGCTGTTGATTGCTCCGTTGTTTTTTTGCAGTTGAAGATGAGGAAAGTACAATAGAGGAGCAGGAGGCGATGGAGGTGGCAGCTGATCAGAAAGCAGAGCTGGCCGAACTAACAAAAGAAGGTAAGTTTTAGGGCTGAACGATTAATTGCATTTGCGATAATATAGAGGCTGCGATTTACACTCGGTCACATGACACGCGCAAAAAAAAGAGGTGTGTCTGACTTGAAGATCGATCGGTGTGTGACATCAAAGTAAGGCAAGAGAAAGCATAAGGAGACGTCCGCTCTCTTATAGCTCTCGCAGTACTTTGATGACACACACCGATCGGTCTAAGTAGCACTGCTTCAAGTCAAACACATCTAAGCAGTCTTCAGAGGAAGCATCAAGTTGGCACGCTACAGTGTTGCCAAGTCCACGGTTTGGGGAACCCCTCCAAAAAACGTGTATTTTACCCCCTGGAACGTGATTTTTACTTGTGGACCCCCCTTGAAACGCGATTGGGCTAGTTTTAAGTAGCAATTGGGTGGGTTTTGTTGTGAAAACCTGGCAACCCTGGCACGCTACACGCAGAAATGTTTGAAAGCGTATATGAACGTACTTCAAAACGGCACATTGAAATTACTCAAGCAGTAACACTGTGTTACGATGGTTTTCAATACTGAAGACTTCGTCCTTAAGATAATGTATATAATAAGGTAATATATATATATATATATATAC